CGGTTCTTCAACAACGCCCCCAGGACAAACCCAGCCCTTACCTTTCCTTTCTAGAAAGCTGACACCGGCCGAATATCGTTACGACACACTTGGGCGGTAGCTTCTGGTCGTCTTTTAGCCGCAAAGGCATTTCAGTGCCTTCTTCAGGGCGGTGACTCCAATAGGACTAGAACGAAGAGGAGGAGGAGGAGGAGGAGGAGGAGGAGGAGGAGGGGGAGGAAAGAGAAGGAAGATGCTGGCGATCAATCACCTTCATAATTCTATTGATCCCCTGAGCCCAGCCCGATTGAACACGCCAAACAACATTGAGCTCTTTGCACCTCACTATCTTGCCTGCACTTCCTCAGAACTGTGCGGACACATGCCTCAAACAATACTTATCTAAAGCACACTAATGGCGGTCTGGATGGTAACTGCGGTCCTTTAAGCGACAACTGCGGCTGTACACAGACAGACACTGTTTATGGGTGCGAGTTTCACCCAGAGATGACGTAGTGCAGTCTAATCAGCAGTGTCATAAACATGCTCAGGGAAAAAAAAGATTTTTCCATTTCTACTCATTGTGGGGCTTCGGATTGGAGTGATAGCAAATATATGTTCAAGTGCCTCCACACTTCCATTGTCAAGCTCATAAAATAGTTTTTAGAGCGACAGTGATATTAGTGTTTAAACGGTTTTTTTCAGACGCAATAGCTGAAGAGGGCATCTCATAACAGACCCATTCCTTTGTTTGTCTGAACTGTCGAACTCGTACAGGAGTCCATCATCAGAGACAAATGGGGCAGCAGGACAAACCAGTTGTAGCGATTATGAGCCAATCAAACGTCAGTGACTTCAGTCTGGAGGTGACTGTGTAGGACTGTATGTCGGCGCCGGATCGACGCTCCGATTCATTGGGTTCTCACCTCAGGCGCAGGCTTCAATCAATTCGAGGCGTGTCTTGCTTCAGGGGTAGACGATTATCCACACGGCTGTGAAGTTTAACTCGTAACCCGTTGCGTAGGTGTGGGTAGGCATCTGTGGTAATCCGTCACTCTGTCGCCCGGTCAGTTTATGTTCTTGTGTGCGCGATCCCCGCATGCGTTCAGTCTGACCTGTGTGAATGCAAACACAGTTTAGGCTCGGGGTGGGATACGCTACACCCGACTGCTCATTAGGACTGTAATCGGTCTTTGATTTTCCTGGCCTTCCTGCGCATGGTTGCTTTAGGCCGGTGTGCAATTCCGACACCTAGTCCTTCAGAAATGCGCTCGGTCGCCTTCGATACGTCCTTGATGACAGAGCATGCCATATTACAGGCGCTGCTTCTGGACAGGTCC